TCTTAAGAAGCCAGGATGGGGGGGGTTGTGACTCTGAAAGGAGAGCAGTTCATATTTAATTCCTCCAAAAGATGGAATTGTATTTCCCAATAAATTATGGAATGCACATGATGACACAAGCCCATTTATTAGTCTGAAGTCAAGTCTTTAAGGTTTTGTGGAGGTGAAAACATGATGAAAATGATCTGTTAAGAGTAAAGAATTCTGGTGATATAATGCAGAAAGGATGTGTGACTTCAACCCCATGCATACTACTTCTTCCTGTCCCCACTCACCTAACACAGTACTGTTATTATTTACCAATAGAGAAGAATTGTTGTTATTTACCCAGGGGCAAGAAGGTTCATTTAATCTAAAGTTAGGGAGGCATACCTATTTGGGAGGCATATCAGAGTTGGGAAAAGAGATATTTTATCAAGGTATTTATCTCACCCTGCACTTCTGAAATGAAGGATCTCTTTGTCGTCTTCTTATTGGTTTGAATCTAGCTTGGCACAATAGAAAGTGGATTTCCCTGCCTGCCAATACATAGAATGATAAATTTTTGTTCATTTGCTTCTTCTAAATTTAATGGAGTTAAGGCATCTATATGTCCAGTGATATCAGGGAAACCTGCAGCTTATTCTGTGATAGAGAGAGAGAGAGAGAGAGGGAGGGAGGGAGGGAGAGAGAGAGAGAGAGAGGGAGGAAGAGAAGAGAAGAGAGGAAGGGAAGGAAGGAAGGAAGGAAGGAAGGAAGGAAGGAAGGAAGGAAGGAAGGAAGGAAGGAAGGAAGGAAGGAAGGAAGGAATTTTAATATAGGAATTCTAAACAATACAATTTCTAAAGGGGTGGTCACGTTAGTCTGTTGCAATACAATTAAGATATTTTCTGATTCTTATAAAACCTAATTTTATAGGAGAGATATAAAACCTTGATGGATTTTGTTCAGTTGGTTTTATCATTTCCATGCCACCTCCATCCAATATTCAAAGAAATACTGGGTGACTCATAGCACAATAAAAAAAACAAGTGATAGGACAATGAAGCAATAACGAATGAAACAATATTTTAAGAATTATAAAAGTATCACATTATAAAAACATATATAGGCTGTCACGTAGCAATGAGTCAGCATGGAAATCACCCTTTTCCCCCCAAACATTCTACAAAGGACTTGATGTCAATTTGCAAACTGCTCCATATCTAAAAAGGCCTGTTTTCAAATCCCTACCCACTGACATCCTGGGAAGAGGATATCTACTACATGCCCCTTTGGCCTGCTCCTACTTCATGAGCAGATTCTAATTACTCACTTTTTAATTAATAAATTTAGAAACCACCTGACCCCCAAACAGTTTTGGGCATTTAGAGCAAAGGGTCTTGAATATAATCTGGACCTCAGTAATAACCAGCATCTTGAATTAACCTGGGAAAAAACAGGAGCCAGAGCAGTTATTAAAAGCACTGGATTTATCCTGCCATGGCAGCTTTCGTCTGTCAGCAGGTGGGCAGAAATATTTTGCACCGGGTATATCCAGGAGCAGCTCTATATAGACAAACTATAGTAGTCTTGGTCAGCAGTTGTCAAACATTGTCAGGATCCCTTTACATTCTTAAAAATTGTTTGAGGACTCCAAAGAACATTGATTCGTGTGGGTTATATCTATCAATATCTACTGTATTGGACATTTAAACAGAAATGTTTAAATATTTCTTTACTTGACTTTGCAGATCCCATGAAAAGGTGTTGGGTACCCTCAGCTGCCCCTAGACCAGTGATGGTGAACCTTTTAGAGACCGAGTGCCCAAACTGCAACCCAAAATCCACTTATTTATCACCGGGGGCCAGGTGGGCGTGGCCCACTGGGTGGGTGTGGCCAAGGTGGGCATGATCACCTCGATGTTGCTCATGAGGAGGGATGCCTGTGGGGGCCGGGCAGGGTTGGGGGAGATCCAGGGGGTCTCTGGCAGGTGGGGCAGTGGGCAGGAGGCTTGTCCTGTGGGATGAGGCGAGGCAGGGCGGGGGTGCCATTGTCACAGGGCAAGGCGAGGCGGGCACCATCAGCCCCCGCACACAGAGGTCAGCAAGCACATGGGTGCTGGGATATATCTGGCCATGTGGGATCTCAGCGAGTTAGTGGGCGGCTGGTTGAAGAGGGACGGTAGCCATCTCCGGGGCATGGCATGCGTGCCCACAGAGAGGGCTCTGAGTGTCGCCTCTGGCACCCGTGCCATTGGTTCGCCACCACTGCCCTAGTCCATTCTTTGAGAATTGCTCCTTGGGATGATAAGGGCTTAAATCGCTGTTCAGTTTACTTGCTTATCTTGCAGTCTATTTTTTATGTTCCTTGTTCTAGAACAGCCATTTTAAACTTGGTGATGTTGTATATTGGGAATTTTTAAAAAAGTGCTGGTTTTTCTATTTTGTCATTTTTTTTGTGTGTGTGTGTATAAATTTTTATTAAAACTTGTAAACAAGAATATAAAAACTAGCACAAACACATAAAGGAAGGAAAAAAAGAAAAAAATCAAAGAAAAAGCAGAAAGTGCAAGAAAAAAATAGAAGATAAACAAAAATGATCTTAAGAACTCACTTCTGATATTCTTCAGAGCAGGTACAACACAAACACATTTTAACCACTCTCTCCACAGTTACATCATGTTCTTTCTATAATTTGTCCTGTCTATAATTGTCAAAACCATATATAACAGTGGTTCTCAACCTTTCTAATGCCGTGACCCCATAATACAGTTCCCCATGTTGTGGTGACCCCTAAGTGGGTGTGGCCACCAATAAGAGGGAGTAGGACAGCTAGGGAAAAGGAAAAAAAATGGCGGACAGCATGGTTTGGCGACCCCCGTGAAATGGTCGTTTGACCCCAAATGGGGTCCTGACCCACAGGTTGAGAACCACTGGTATATAACAAGCTCATTTTTTATTCTCGTGTGAGATTTCCTGTTCTATTTTATGCAAGAGTTGTTTAAAGTGAATGCAAGCGTGTAACTTCCTTGTTAACCTGCTTACGTGTGCTTTTTATACAGTGCATGGAGTACGTTCTCTCTACTGACAAAAACTTACATTTAACAGAAGAGAAGCATGATTGGAGAGTAATATTAACTATACATTATTAATTGAATTTAATTAAATTGAAATAAATGAAATGTTATTCTCATTCTAGACTAACCCACATCATTTAGAGGGCAATTGTGGCCTTTAGTCAAGAAAATGTATATCCTGATCTAGGTAGATTGGTTTTGCCTTGTATAATGCAATTTTTTGTTTGTTTGTTTTATACCTCTGATCTAGGAATCAATGAGAGTGCCTGCTTACTTACATAAAGTTCCACAGTGAAAGGGAATTGCAAGTTCATATATAGTCTTTGATTAGATTAAGAAGCAAGTCCAAAAACCTTTGGGAACCATTTAGATTAGAGAGCAGCTAATCTAATTCACAGCAAATTCTCTCAATAAGACTCTTCAGCAAAATCTAATCTTATCTGATATTTAAAGCAAATCGTGAGAAACAGAGAATTCCATTTTAAAAGGTAGATAGATAACCTTTATTGTCACTTTTCTGTGTACACAGTGGCACATATTAAAATGAAATTCTGATGCCTGCTTTCAAAATATATATATATCCATATATATCCATTCCATATACATATACATAAATTGCATGTGTGTGTGTGTGTGTGTGTATGTGTATATATATATATATATATATATATATATATATATATATATATATAAATACATACATACATACATACATACATACATATTAATCACAGTCCATTTTGAATACATAGTGGAAAAAGAGTTTTGAGATTTAACAAGGTTGATACTTTATGGTACAAAGCTATTACATAATCCAGATGTTCTGCTTCGGATACCACAAAGCCTCCTCCCAGAAGGCAAAGAAAACCAGGTCATGAGAGGATGTGTAGTTTCCCTAATAATACTGCGGACCCTAGTCAAGCAGCGCTTATACTGTATGCGATATCCTGGATCGAAGGAAGTGAACTTCCAATAATCTTTTCTGCCATCCTCACCACTCTCTGCACTGCTTTCCTGTCCGAAGCAGTAATGCTTCCAAACCAAACAGCAATGCCATATGACAGGATGCTTTCAATCGTCTCTGTAGAAAGTGGTAAGGACAGGGGAAGGAAGATGTGCTCTTCTCATACGCAGAAAATGCAGGTGCTGCTGTGCCGTCTTCACCATTGTCTCACTGTTGAGCGACCAAGCTAACCTCCTTGTTAGCTGCACACCCAGAAACTTAATACTACTAACCATCTCCACAGCTGAATTATTCATACACAGAGGCGTGTGGCTGTGCCTGCCTTTTCTGAAATCAATGATGATCTCTTTTGTTTTTCCTACATTTAGAACCATGCTGTACTTACCCAGTCCACCAAACCCTCTACCTCCTCCGTATAAGCACCCTCACTGTCATCCTGAATAAGGCCCACTACTGTTGTATCATCTGCATACTTCACAATAGGGTTGTGAAGCAAACTTTGCACAACAGTCATGGGTCAACAGGGTGAATAACAGTGGACTTAGCAGCCTTAAAGAGAACCTGTGCTCAAAAGAATATGAGTCCCAACTTGCACATGCCGGAAGTCTATCAGTGAGGAAAATCAAGATTCCAGTTGCCCAAAGGAATATTAAAACCTAAAAGATCCAGTTTGTCTACTAAATGCTGAGGAGCGATTGTATTAAAAGCCAAACTAAAATCAACAAACAGCATTCAGACATGAGTACTTCTTTCCTCTTCAGTGCGCCAAGCTCAGATATAGAACAGAGGAAATAGTGTCCTCTGTGGAGCAATTCACCTGGTGAGCAAACTGAAGTGAGTCAAATGCTGGGGGGAGGCTGGCTAGATTAAAATCCTTTATCAGCCTTTCAAATCTTTTCATCATGATGGACATAAGTGCAACTGGATGATAATCAGAGTAGTAAAGGAGGGGAAAGACAGATGAATCAGTAATAACTGTTTTATCACTCATTTTTCAGGTTGATGGTGACAATTTGAAGCTCATCCGAGGGGTGGACATCAGAGGACAGGGTGCGGCCTATGCCTTTGAAGGATGCTGAAGAAAAGTAACCTGATTCTCTGGGGCCTGGTGCTTTTTGTGGCCTGGAACGCTGTGATCCTCTTCTTCCTGTGGACTCGGCCACAGTCTTTATCGGACCATAGCCGCTTAACTGAAGAGGTGATCCGACTGGCCCAGGATGCTGAGGTAGAATTGGAGCGCCAGAAGGAGCTTTTACATCAGATCTACCGCTATAGTTCACTCTGGAACATACGGAAATCCAAAACTCTCCATCTGTCAGCTGCAGTGTCGGTCCAGCCTTCCACAGCTGCGCTTTCACCCCATCACAGTCAGATATCACCTGATGCGGTTTTACCTGTGGTGGTGATTGCCTGCGACCGCAGCACAGTCCGCCGTTGTCTAGATAAACTGTTGCATTACCGTCCCTCAAAGGAGCGATTCCCCATCATTGTAAGCCAGGACTGTGGACATGAGGAAACAGCTAGAGTCATTGCCTCCTATGGAGATTCTATCATGCACATCAAGCAGCCCAATTTAAGTGATATCCCTGTGCCTACCGACCATCGCAAGTTTCAGGGATACTACAAAATTGCTCGACACTATCGCTGGGCTTTGAGCCAGCTTTTCCGGACCTTCAAATACCAAGCAGCCATTGTAGTGGAAGATGACTTGGAAGTCGCCCCAGATTTCTTCGAATATTTTCAAGCGAGTTTCCCACTTCTGCTGGCTGACCCGACTCTTTGGTGTATCTCTGCCTGGAACGATAATGGCAAGGAACAGATGGTAGACGTTGCCCATCCCGAACTTCTCTACCGTACTGATTTTTTCCCTGGTCTGGGCTGGCTTCTGCTCTCTGACTTGTGGGATGAGCTGGAACCCAAGTGGCCCAAGGCTTTCTGGGACGACTGGATGCGACAGCCTGAGCAGCGGCAGGGCCGTTCGTGCATCAGGCCTGAAGTGTCACGCACAATGACTTTTGGCCGTAAAGGCGTGAGCCACGGTCAGTTCTTTGACCAATATCTGAAGTTCATCAAGCTCAATGACCGTTTTGTGCCTTTCACCCAGATGGACCTTTCTTACCTCAAGAAGAATAACTATGAACACTCATTCTTGGCCCAAGTCTACGGTGCCCCTGAACTGCGTGTCGAAGAATTACAGGGGAACCAGCGCCGGGAGTTAGGTACTGTCCGAGTGCAGTACACCACTCGTGATTCTTTCAAGGCCTTTGCAAAAGCCTTGGGTGTTATGGATGACCTCAAATCAGGAGTGCCCCGTGCTGGTTATCAGGGCATTGTGAGCTTCCTTTACCGAGGCCGCCGTGTTTTCTTGGCTCCTCCTCCTGACTGGACAGGCTACGACCCCAGCTGGAGTTAGCAGCTGAGGATTTTTGAGCATGTTGGATCCCATCGGGAAAAGGGTGCTTGGGTGGGGGTGGGGGCAAAACTCTGTGTTTTCTTCTCCTGTGTGGTATTCAAGGTGCATTCCAGGAACGAGGATTGTTTTGTGCACTTAATTTGGGGGAGGAGTTAATGGCAGGAGGGACGGATTACGGGGGTATTCCAAAGCCCCAACATCATAGATGAGAGGAGCATTCTGGGTTCCCTGTTCTCTTCCCGATGCCTGTCTTCCTTCTCGACGCTGCTGCCTGTCCACCGATTAGATCCTTGGTGGCCTGTCCAAATGTGTGCATTTTGAGGTCGAAATGAGTGCTAAACCAAAGCAGTGACCCGCTGAAGCTTTCCCAGTTTCGTTGAGATAACAGCAGGCCAGAGCAACTTGTGATCTTTTGAGACAGATGTAGCTCCTCAGTCAAGTAGTCTGTGTTTGGCCACAGACTTTTCATACATATCTTTAAATTCTAGCCAAGCAAAATGGGGAGACTCGTTAAGCTCCCGAGAAACTACGATTCAAAACTGGCACACTGCATTCAACTTGTTAGGTCGCAGGTAAGCTATAGGGAGAAAATAAAAGTTGTTTTTTTTTTCTCTCAGCTCTTGGCTGCTGCTTCACGTCTCACCTGGGGCATACTGTAAGGTTTGGAAAGCAGGAAGCTCTTTCAGGTGATCATTGAACCCCCCTCAAAAGGACCATCTTTATTGACCATATTGGCCATTTTTATGTTGATCTCTTAGATATCCTAATTCTTTAACCCTATTGAATGGGACAACAGAGATACAATGTGTGCACGACAACAAACTTAAGATGATTGTCACTCAGATGAGATGGAAAGGAAGGTCAGAGCCTCTTTTATTTGCTTTTTTTAACTTGGGCATGAGGATAGAGTAGTCAGAGCGCATGAACGTGGGCTGCTACCTTTTTTATAGCTCCCTGCCGGGACCTGTTAACTTTAGCTCAAATAAAGTTTTGGATGGAGGTGGGCATTTTCTTCTCATCCTCTAACTTGCTTCTATGAGATACATGAAGGTCTGGCTTTGCGGCCTTCTAGCCACTGCCTGCTGTCGAATGATCCTTTCTGTAAGCCCCAGTGGAAGATGATGGGCTGCAGGTGGGCCATTAAGCTTGAAAACAGCTCTGGGAAAGGAAGGCCCAAGGCTAGCCCTTCAGGACGCAGGAGGGGACATCCAGGCATTTCAATCTCCACTCTGAAATGATAGAGACTTTCAATATATCTATTGACTGTCTATTCAAAGGAAGCCGACCGATGTCTCGCTGTGGCTGCCATGTTCTCTTCCCAGGTTCATGAGGAGAACTTGCCCTAGGCTGCCTTAATTTCCATGGTGTAGGAAATTCCATCCAGATCTACGGCAGAGTGTGCTGGTGGCTCGGTTGCATTTTTTTTTTAATTGCTGGGGTTTTGTTTTTTTTCCTGAAAGGCCATATTTGGAACTGGTCACTGCTACGTATCTGGATCACGGTGGGCGCTAAGTAGAGTGGAGGGAGGAGACTTCTTGAGGCATTGGAGCATCTCACGAAAGGACACCTCCAACCCAAGGAGTCCAGCCTTATTCAGTGGGGCAGAGTCCGCCTTCCCCGTTCTTGCCTTTGGGAGTTGCCACCGAGCTGCTCCAGATGGCCGTTTTAGGAGGCAGGCAGGAGGAAGCAACTTCACACCTCCTTTGGCCAAAATTTAGACTACACCAAAGGGTATATTGCGTTATTTGAATGCTTGTTACTTTTTTTCCCCCTTTTTTTAAAAAACGTGCATAAGACCATCTCTGTGATGAATGGAGGAAGGGAGGTTGTGTTTTGGCATTCCGCTTCAGTGAGGGGAGGTTTTTTTTCCCCCTTCGTATATCTGCTCTTCTAGTTGGTGCAGGGGGGGGGGGGTCGGGGAGGAGATGGTGCCTTGGGGAGACTGCTTTGAATGGCTGGATGCATCTGCTTACGTCCTGAGGTTTTTTCCTTTTGGAAAAAAAAGAAACTAATGCTGCAGAGAATGGGGCTCTCTTTAAAAAATTTTTTTTAAAAAAAATGACCTGCTGTGACCTGCGTCTGGAATATTGATAATTTGGACGTGTTTCTAGGTTGATTTTTCACTTTTAATTCTCTGCGAAGAGACTACTGCTTGACGCTTTTCTGGGTCAGGCTTCCATTTGAAAAGAAAGCAAAGTAGGGCAGACCTGTGTATAGAACATGAGTGGGAAAGTCTCCATGGGGAGAGCAAAGGTCTTTTGGCACGATTTCACTCACCTGTAACAGTTTCCTGAATAGACATGCGGAAATGATCACTTTGAGCCCTCGGTTTACGATGTGGTCCCCTTCAGAACCGTTGTACTCCATTTTATCTGGATGGGGAGGGTGTAATGGAAAATTGGATTATTATTTTTTGGGGGGCAGGTTATTTTAATCCCAATTTTCAAGATTTGCTGGATCCTGGGTGAAAGAATTGCCCTTTTTAAAACTAGAAACAGCAAGAGAGCTGTTCTTACCTTTAGTATTATGTTCTGGGACTCAGCCTTGATGTCTCGGTTTGCAAGTATATTGCCATCTCCTCTCAGTAGAAGGCAGCTAATTGAACTTATGGAGGAAGGGAAGGGAAAATGGAAATCTCTTTTAGGGTTCCCTCCTTTCACTTCTGTCCTCTGGTGCTCAGTCAGCCAATCAATCAGGGAAATGAAAACAGGAGGACAGAGATAAATCCTTTTTTTTTTTTTTCCTGAATCCTCAGTTCTGTGTAACTTAATCCACACCATCTGTAGCCCAAACTCTCTCCTTTGCCCTACTGTCCTTATTAGTGTTTTGTCCTAGGTCACAGTGAAATGATCACGTTTCCCAATCCAGTCTGTGATTTGGGGGAAACAATTGGAAGATGCTCAGCGGAGATCCCAGCAGAAAGGAAAACCCACCAGCAGCCACAATTCTTCTCCCTTTCTGTCCTGAGCTGTTTTCTGTTCCTGAAAATATCTCTGCTGAAAATTCTAGCTGAAAAATAAGTTGTCGCTACATCTGGATGTTTGAATCAAGGTTGTTTGACGGAGAGACGCTAATTTTATGTTCACAACTAATTGGTGAGAAGAACTGAAAGAAGCAAAAATTTAAAAAAAAAGTTATTTTCCACAATAAAATAAAAGCCGTTCCTTTTCAGACAGCCTGTGTAATTGACCTCGTGCAGCAATTTATTGCGTTCATAATGCTTTCGGTGAAATTCGACAAAGGGGAGGGGGCACAACGTTGTCTCTTTAGAGGCCTTACACCCATTTGTTACCCTCCACTTGTACCAGGAATAATAACTCCTGGCATCGAAAGTGGCATTGGTCTTTCTAGGAACATCGAATATATATTTTCATCAAATGGGATCAAGACCCTTCTTCTCTCTGTTGTTCCAGAGTGTGGGACATGGGATAATGGGTTTAAGTTACAGGAAGACAAATTCCAATTGTTTTTCACTGTAATGTTTTTTCAAGCATTTTGGTTGGGCTAACTAGTCAAAGAAGCAGTGGACAATCATCTCTTGAGGATGCTTTAGAGAGTGGTGGCGAACCTATGGCACGCGTGCTAGAGGTGGCACTCGGAGCCCTCTCTGTGGGCACACACACCGTCACCCCAGCACAGCCTCCTCACCAGCACCCCCCCCCAGGAGAAGAGTCGCCCCCAGGCGCAGCTCACGCAAAGCAGCACAGCCAAGGACATGGTAGCTGGACAGCGGGGACAAGACTCCGCCCTTGCGCCCCATCGCACGCAGATGATGCTGCAGGGCACGGGTGGAGGACGTGGCCACCATGGTGCTGCTGGACTGCCTGGGTGATCTGTGGCGGGCCATGGAGGGGGTGGGTGGCCTAGCAGGCAGGGCGGAGCAGGGATGGGGGTGGGGGGCAGTTTTTGGGCACTCGGTCTCTAAAAGGTTCACCATCACTGCTTTAGAGTTTGGATTGCACTGAGCAGAGGGTTAGACTCAATGGTCCAAGTGTTCTAATTCTTCAATTCCACCTCCAGGTTTATAAGAATAGATCAGGAGGAATCTGGGAAATTCTGAAGTCCACACATCTTAAAAGTTGCTGAGGTTGAGAGACTCTGCCCTACAGCAACAAGAAGTGTTCGGTGATGGAAGTCCCAGGACCATCACTTTCCCTGCTGATATTTCCCCAACGCTTTTCAAAAGCAATCACCCCCCTTTTCTCTCTTTCCAATCCCTGCTTCCTACCTTGCTATCCTCTATTTATGCAAAGCCCTATATTATTATTAGCATTATTATGTAATCCAGCTGTCAAAGCTCCTGGAAGCTTCCTTACATTTCTGTACTGATGTATTTGAACAAAATATATGGAAGGATGCATTAGGACACCAATGATTTCTTCTTTTCTGGGCAGCTGCTGTTGCTTTGTTAAGCAAAAAAAGATATCTTCTATCTCAAAACCGCTTAGATTTCCGCCAACCTCTTAATTGGTGAGGATACGCAGTTTGCTGCCTTAGGAAATTGAAAAATTACTGCTTTCTGAAATTCCCAAATTTTAAGCTGCTCAAGTTCTAGGCACTTTTTTTTAATTAGCATTTATTTCAAATGAATGTTGCTATTTATTTTGGTATTGCAAATGCAACACAATTCCACTTGGTTAGCTTTTTGTGGAATTATTTCTTGATTATTCAATTTCAAATGGAACAATCCAGATGCTGCATTTGTTTGGCTTCTGATACTTTTTTCCAAATTTTTTTTTTAAATTATTTGCAGAATCTTGTGGAGCAGCAGCAACTGGTAAAAGGGTACTAGTGCAAGCTACTAGTAGAGGATTGCCATTCTTCCTTACTGGTTTTTCAGGAAAAATACCACTGTGGCACTGCTTTCAAGGCTCTCAGAAAGTGCCTTAGCCTTATATAAATACAGATGTGGGCATTGCGTATTAAAAATTTGGCAATAGGCTAATATACTCTGAAAAAGAACATCCGAAGGACAAGTAGTTGTGCAATGCTGATTGATTTTTTTATCCTCAGGCATTTTTACTCTGCCAGGTGGCAGGTTCAAGCTGATTAACAATTAAACTGAAGAATAGTTTACAAATTCTGTGTCAACCAACCGTTTGCAAAAGAGAGAAAATTATATTACTTTCTGGCAGTACTGAGAAAAGAGAGAATCATATGCCTAAGAAATTGCAGGAGCTAAAGTGCACCTCTCTTTTTCCATGTTCACCGTCTCAAACTAAGCCCCAGAGAGAAGTTCTCCAAGCAGATGTTACGATACTTTTTGCTGACAACTAGCAATATTTTTGAGAGAAAGAACGTCTAGTTTTGTTTGCTTGTTCTTTTTTCAAACAAGGAGCCTGGATTTCATTTGGAGGGTTGGATAAAAGGTGAATACCGTGTCTGAAAAGATTGAAAACTTCTGGGATATATTATAAGAAATGGCAAGATTAGACATTCACTAGAAATGAAGCCATACTCTTCCATTCTGCTCACTAACCTAAAACAGCTGCATTTCAGAAGATTGCTCCTATGTGGGATCTGGGCTTTCTATGGGCAATTGCTTCTCCACTGGATCATTGCTATGATTTGAACAGGACAGGCTCTGAATATACAAGGGCAATTTGGAAATAAACCTCCATTTGGTTATCAATGACAGACACTCGCAGATGCAGAACTTTTATTATACACATTAGAAAACTAAAACATTGCATTACTTTTTGACATAATCGCCATTCAAACTGAGGCACTTGTCATAACATCTTATACAAGGTTTGAAATTTCTTAGTAGTTGTTCAGCGCCAAATCCAGGCTATGGGGGTGTGATCAAAAACCTCCCAACAGAACTGCTTCAAATGTTCTTGGGTGCGTCTAGTGGTGCGCGGGCAAGCATTATCATGAACCACCACCACACCGGAAGTGGTGCCATAGGAAATCCCACCAAATGTGAAGATGCCAAAGGAGTACTGCTAGTGACGTTCATGGAGGGTAGTTCAACCATCAATTCAGAAGTCTACTGTGAAAGGTTACAAAAATTCAGACAAGCTGTCCTTAACAAGCATCGGGGCATGACTTCCGGTGACTTCCGGTGTGGTGTTGGTTCACGATAATGCTCACCCACACACCGCTAGACACACCCAAGAACTTTTGAAGCAGTTCCATTGGGATATTTTTGATCACCCTCCCACACAGTCCAGACTTGGCGCCGAGCAACTACTACTAAGGAATTTAAACCATGTAAGATGTTATGACAACTGCCTCAATTTGAATGGCGATTATGTCAAAAAGTAATGTAATGTTGTAGTTTTCTAATGTGCAGAATAAAAGTTCTGTATCTGCAAGTGCCTGTCATTGACAACCAAACAGGTTTATTTCCGAATTGCCCTCGTATATTGAGGAGACCAAGAAACCTTTTTTGGGTGCTATTACTTGTAGAGCATACTTGTGGTGACTTATTCCCCTAGCCTTCCCTATCTTTTCAAAGGTAGGCAGTTGGATGTCCTCTGGAGTTTCGTTTTTACACTTACCATTAGCAGGACTTGTTGAAGTTGATGGAGTGAAACATACAGATCAGCCTTCCTTAACTGGTGTTCTTCAGATGTGCAGACTTCAACTGCCAGAATTTCTAGCCAGCAAGACCACTGCTAAATTGAGGCTATATGTCAGTGGTGGCGAACCTATGGCACGATTGCCAAAGATGGCACTCGGAGCCCTCTCTGTGGGCACACGTGCCGTTGCCCCAGCCCCACCTCCCCCCCATGGCCCCTTCCACACCAGCAGCCCCTGAAGGAGCCCCCAGGCACGGACCGCTTGGAGCAGTGCAGCCAAGGACATGGCAGCTGGGCAGTGGGGACAAGACTCTGCCCTTGTGCCCCATCTCAAAAAGTTGATGCTGCAGGACACGGGAGGAGGGCGTGGCCACCATAAGCGCTGCTGGGCCGTCTGGGCTATCTGCGTGGGTGGCCCTGCGGGTGGGTGGGGGCGGTGCAGGGGTGGAGCAGTTTTGGGGCACTCAATCTCTAAAAGGTTCGCCATCTCTGCTATATGTATATCTGGAAGTTGCCAGATTGGAGAAAACTAATCTGGATTACAAAGGAAAGACTGGTAATCCTCCAAATAAAGAGGCTCAGCTCTTTGTCTGCCACAGTTAATTACTGGCAAGGACTACAGTCCACACCAGGAGAGCAACAGATTTCTCTCCCTTAATCATAGAGGGGACCAGTTGACCTACAAGTAGTCCTCAGTTAATGACTGCTCAGTTTAGCCACTATTCAAATTTACAGCAGTGCTTTACAACCAGTCTTCCAACTTAATGACTGTCTCAGTGTCCACAATTGATATCATCATCATCCAGGTAGTTCACAACTGGTACACATTTATGATGGTTGCAGTGTCCCAAAGTCATGGGATAGCCATTTGTGAGTTTCTGATAAGCTTATGTCCCTTTGGCTGACTTCTGATAGGAAATCTTGATTTTAGAGCAATTGTCCATCGTTACACAGATTCATGCACATTCCTTTAATGGAGTTACATATGTGTTATCAAACTCTTGTTGACTGCTAGTGATCATACAGACAGTCGCTGCAATCAAGTCCATCCATCTTGTGGCTAGTCTTCTTCTTCCACCATTATTATGTTGTTATTATTGTTTGTCACATCAACCAGATGTTCAGACTGGATTTGGCATTTTTGTCCATCTACTGAGTTCTTCCCAAGGAAATGGGGATAGGCAGATGTGGATATCTGATGGTGTTACATTATAATTACTAGTATTCAAACTTCATGTTGCCTGACTTTCAATGACTCTGGAGGAAATTTACAATAAAATCAATGAAACATAACAAATAAAGATAAAAGGTAGCAAGCATGATGAAGTGAGGGCTTTGTTCCCCTCAGGAAAGGCCTAGGCCAGGGGTAGGCAACCTCGGCTCTTTTATGACTCGTGGACTTCAACTCCCAGAATTCCTGAGTCAGCATAGCTATGCTGGGAGTTGAAGTCCACGAGTCATAAAAGAGCCGAGGTTGCCTACCCCTGGCCTAGGCAAACAGATTTTCTAGCACTGGTGATGTTACCTAGTTTGGGTACTGAAACATCTACAAGAAAACAAGCTCAGAGAGCACCAAGGACTTCCCTAGATTTTCAGGTTTTTGCAAATGTTCCAAAATAGAATAATTTGAGTCTGGTCATTTGT